CTTTGGCTACCTTAGGGCTGCGTTCTCCGCGCCCATGCGGTAGACAATTTGAATGCATGCAGAAAGAAGCGGTGTCCAGATGCATTCAAAATGTTCGCAGCCCTAAGGGTGTGGTATAGTGGGCTTCGGCGTATGGGTCAAAGTGTCGCATTGTTGGAGGCGGGCGACCAGGACATAAAGTGGGTTCTTAAGGGGCAAAAAAATTTAGGGGACCGGTCCTGGGCAAAATTGTGGACTACCTACAACTAACTTTAGTAGAACCGGGACTTTTGGAAAAAGGAAGGACTCGTCTTTGGGGGGAAGCGGAGCCCGAAAAGAAGTGGGGGGCGTTGGACCGGTCCTCGAGTGGAAGCGGGCCCCCAAAAGAAATGAGGGCATGTGAACTGCAAAAGGGCTCTCAGGCCCAGGCGTTGAGGCCCGTCTTCTCAAAACAAGGAGGTTAGGTGCATTRAAACAAACGTTTTGCAAGAGGCAACTTTGGCGATTTTCTGTGCTCGGAGGAACCCGCAGAAAAATCTGAAAATTTAAAAATCCATGGACGAGGTCATGTTCTTTCCAGGAAAAATATTAGAAAATTTTCAAAAACTAATTTAGACTGTGAAATAATCGTCGTGCCGATTTGACACATTTTTCATTTTTGCCACTCATCCATGTGTGGGCCAACTGAAAAAGTACTCCAAATTCAGTGAGTTTTCGCGCTCAGAAGAATGTGTGAAAAAACCTGAAAATTGAAGTACTCGTAGATTTTGTTGTGATCTTTCAAGGAAAAACGCTCAATAAAAAAAAAAATAATTCCAGCTGTGAAAGAGATCTGCCTTAATTTGATCCATATTTCAATGTTGCCATTCAGCCTCTCTCTCTTTCTCTCTCTCTCTCTCTCTCTCTCTCTCTCTCTTGGTGGGAGGCCCCCCCCCTCCCTCTCTCTCTATCTCTCTTTCTTTCTCTCTCTCACTCATGCCAACAAATGGAACAAAACTCTCTCTCTCTCTCTCTCTCTCTCTCTCTCTCTCTTTGTGGTAGGCCCCCCCCTCTCCCTCTCTCTCTATCTCTCTTTCTCTCTCTCTCACTCGTGTCAACAAATGGAACAAAAGTCTCTCTCTCTCCCTCTCTCTCTCTCTCTCTCTCTCTGTCTCACACACTCATAACAACAAGTGGAACAAAACTCTCTCTCTCTCTCTCTCTCTCTCTCTCTCTCTCTCTCTCTCTCTCTCTCGCTCTCTTGTGCTTTGGCTACCTTAGGGCCGCGTTCCCCGCGCCCACGCGGTAGACAATAGATTCAATGCCTATGCAGAAAGGTGCCAAAATTCGCGGCATGAGTTTCGAGTCGAGCTTGATTGCCGCTGTGGGTGAGGTCAGCGGCCACGGTCGTCGCCCAGATTCATACTAAATAAGCACGCAGAACCACAAGCGGGGCAACCCAGATCTCTCTTGGGAAATTTGTTACCCAGGTCATTTACCGCTTGTCAGGCTGAAAGTCCTACAGCAGTGCGCCAAAAATGGGCCCTGCTGCTCGTCAACCGGTGTACCGGCCTCCACTGCTTACGCGGGGTACGCGATGCAGCGCGCCCCGAAGCCGCGCTTTCTTGTCTCCCCTTGCTGTCTGCGACGGTAATTCTCGGCCGGTAACAGTCCTCCCTTTTGGCTCGTCCTCCTTGCTTCCCGCCAGTTGTAGTGCGCACTCGCGTCTCAGCACGACCTTCCCTGTCCCAGCTGGCATGGGGAGGAGGAGGAAGTGGGATGGGAAGCGAGTCAGCAGAACGACATAGCCGTCTGTCCCACGGAAACAACCCATGTGGAGTGTGGATTCCTGCCAAGGTTTGCGTCTGATGAGAATTCGCGCGCCGCCATCGCTGCTTGGTAGGTATGGTAGCCTTGTTTCCACCCCCCTTCCGGCCGCCTAGCTGATGAAATTTTCGCCGTCTGGGTCATTTTCCCCCCTCTCTATCTGACCTTTTTCTCTCTCGTTCGACTGTGTTGGCACCCTTCTCCTGCTCCTAAAGCCCGCTTTTGTCGTTGCCTCACGTGCTCTCTCTTCTTCCTTACCGATGGCCTGCTTTGCCTTTCCGCTTGCTTATCTCAGCCTCCTCAGTTGTTGTCTCGAGGACTGCTTGAGAGAAGGGTATTTGGCTCTACGACTGCTTGCGAAAAGGTTAAGGGTAAGAAGGCAAAAGGTTAAGGGTAGGGCATGGATTAGGCGGGGGGGGAAGAGACGCTGTCGTTGTCGTCGTACTTTCGTGGCTTTTTCCTTTATGTCCTCCTCCTTTCGCTCCTTTCTTTCCCTCTCCCTCTCCTTCCACCTTTTGGATTTGATTAATGATGGTGTAGGCTAGAGACAGGGGCCGGGGCCGATACTCCGGTGGGTTAGGCTATGGACACAGAGCGCGGCGGAAGGTTGAGGATGGACCTGGACTGTTTGCGTCTCTCTGCCTTCTACAGCGTTTGTCACGAAGGTTTGGCAGGGGAGAGGGAGAAACAGGGAGAAGGAGAGAAGTATATGTATATTTAAATTTGGACACACGTATAAAGACATATAGAAAATTCGTATACATACGTAGTTATATATATGTCTTTGTATGTGTGTACAGATGTATGTATGCATATATATATCTTGTACGCAAGAGGTTTTGAACAGTTGCAAGTAAGAAGATAAAAAATGAATGAATTGATAGCTCTCTTGTTTCCTGTTGTTCTTTTTCGCTTTTGCGCTCTGATATCGTTGTGACGATGTATATCAGAGCGCAATAGCGAAAAACAACAACAAAAATCAATTTATTTTTAATCTTCTTACTTACACAACTTCCCCTGCTCAAAACCTCTTGCGTACAAGGCCGCCCACGTGGATGTAGGTTGAGCGGCGGCTGCCCCCACCCCCTGTGTCATATCGACCATCTTGCACACAGCCAAAATGTATGCATATATGTATATATGTATATATATACATGGGTAAACACACGAATATATATGTATATGTGATTATGTATATCACGTGTGTATGTTAGAGCTTGAGAGAGAGAGAGAGAGAGAGAGAGAGAGAGAGAGAGAGAGAGAGAGAGAGAGAGAGAGAGAGAGAG